AAGAAGTTGTGTGAATCAGATGTGGATACTCAAAAACTTTTGGACAACTTGAAATCACAAGATTTTACCAAAATCAACAGCTTAAAAACTTACGACATTTCAATTTTATACACAACCATTCTCCACGATAAATTAAAGTCCTGGCTTTTTGATATCATTGACAGCTGCTTTTTCAATAAAAATGGAATTCGTAAATTTACTTACCTAGTCATTGATCATTTGCAAAATTATTTTGTTAAAACACATTCTGATTGCACACATAAGTATTCTGAAGCTGACAACAAAGAAATGCTTGAGTTTCTGATTGACAATGTCTATATGGATTTCGGAGACGAGGTATTCAAATAATCTATTGGAATGCTTGAGTTTCTGATTGACAATGTCTATATGGATTTCGGAGACGAGGTATTCAAATAATCTATTGGAATTCCCATGGGTACCAATTGCGCTCCGTTATTAGCAGACCTATTTTTAAATTCATATGAAGCAGAATTTGTGCAAAATCTAATGCTTGAAAAGAAGAAAACACTTTCTGTGGCCTTCAACTCGACATTTAGATATATCGACGACGTATTGCCAATTAACAATAGTAATTTCCATTCCTATGTCGATACGATAAATCCTGGTGAATTAAAGATAAAAGACACCACAGAGTCTGACACATCTGTTTCAACTTTGAGATTTTACTTGAAAAAGACCTTTATGGTAATCTTACAACCAAGTTATGTCATAAAGGTGATGAATTAAACGTTTCTATCGTCAACTTCCTTTACTTATGCAGCAATATACCTTCATCACCTGCATACGAAGTTTATATATCTTAGCTGATTCAATACGCAAGAGCGTGCTCTACGTATGAACAATTTCTAAAACGAGGTAAATTATTGACAAGCAAGTTGATGAAACAAGAACATCAGCGGTCTGGTTTAAAGTAATCTTTTCGTAAGTTCTATGGTCGATACAATGACCTCTTGTCAGCAAATACAATTTATCATTGAGTCAAATGCTAACTGACTTTTTTTATACCAATTGTTAGTCCATTATTTACACACTGAATTGACGACGGATTTTTCCGTTTTTTTCGATCATGACAAGGAGTACACACGGCGGGTGTGACCGGTCAGCAGGTGATGCTCACACCTCCATGGCACCTGATCCCACCTCTGTTGTTTCGGAGGTTCGTGTTGCTTTGCTCCTATTTTGTATTGTTTTATAGACTTTGGTATTGAATACTGTTTGTGATCTCAATCTCCTTCTTATCTTTTTAACAAATTTCTATAGAATTTCAACATTAGACCTTACCTAACACAAACAAAGTGTAGATATTTTCTCAAGGCATTTTCTTCGTACTTTTACCCCTATCATAATATATCCTTTTTAAATATCTTTTTCAAAATATAGATACTTTTTAGAGGAAAATGATATTTTTGGGGGATTTGACAAATGACCCCAGTCATTATCTAATGGAGTAAATTGACGATTCTTCACTCTTTATTGGTGTACAGGAGCCCGCATATTTTGTTGGGAGTAAGTGGAATAACTTTTTAAGCTTTAAGCTTCGCTTAAAAACATTAATAAGAACGACTTTTCTCCCTTTTTTCTGTTCTTATTTTTGTCCATTTTATTTTTAAATGCTGTACATACACTACGCTGATTTAAATCTGTATTAAAACGTTAAAATGTACTTTATTCACAATTACTGGAAAATATTTTTATAGCAAAATTAAGTGGATATCTGTGATAATTTTTATGCATAGAAACCATTTTAATTCCAACAGTGTGATTTTAAAAACTCGGCATTCAGATATAAGAAGAAGTAATAAAGGCATCGGTTGATTTAAAATGCTTCATTCTTTCAGGTGTACGCCCTGACTGATATCTTTTTTATATAAATCCCTACATTTTCACCTTTTTCTGTAAACTACCTAGTTTAATACAACTCTGGGCTTTAAATTGAAGTATTTTTGATAACCAGCTTTAACCTCAAGCAAAAAAAAAAAAAAAAAAAAAAAGAATTGCTTGAATATACACTGACTTGTTTGTTATAACTGGACATGTACTATGTTGTTAGATATAAGTTATCATTTTTCTTCTATCGTTCTAACTAATTGACAATAATTTGTTTCGCATGTAAAAATCCGAGCTTTTTTCACTTTATCCGATAATTCTGTTTTTTTTTTATTTTAAGTCAGGGTATAAAAACATTTGTGAATTATATCATAATCTATTTATAGTGTTATTTGAATTAGTGATCAATGTCACCGAGTGCATGTATTTGTTTATCGAAAAAAATGAATGTCTCATTATTTAAATTAACCAAAATTGTTAGGCCCATGTTTTGGATGTACTCAAAAAGGATTCCTGTAATGTATGCGAGGATCAAAATAGATGTGCAGTACAGTCTCCTCTCAAAACTTTTGCGGTTGTTATATTCATTTAGATTGAAAACCAAAATAAGTTATGATTAAGACCCTCTTCCACCCGCACACAGCTACGCTGATACCACTTAAGCTTTATCAAGGAATACCTTTTCTAGGTCACCAAGAGTTTAGTCGATGTGTATCCTTATTAGCCCATAAAAACAAAATCGTGAACTTTCACATAGTTACGTCTTTAAAAAAAATATAGAAATGTAAGCAACTTCATCAATTCATTTCATACCAGTTACTTAAGACTTCTGAAAATATATAAAAATTTTATATAATCTACAATATATTAATGTGATTATTTCCCATTATGTGTGCTAGCTCTTTACTTTTTAAAAACTCTTTCTTATTTCTGTGTAATAACTTTATTGTATTACATGTATATGGCTTTTTCAGGGACTTGTTATCCACCCTTTTGGCCTTTAAGAGTTATCAATTGCTCAAGAAACACTTTGAAATAATCAAAAAGTAAGTGTAAAAGTAAATTCTTTGGGTCTATATGTGTGTAAGACTTTCTCGTTACTAAATGTAAGTTTAGCAAAAATGAATTATGCGTGCGTAATTTTTAACAATGTATGTCTACATCGTTATGCTTCAGTGTGGACCCACATTAATCAGATCAATTTTTTTCCCACAATTTTTTTTTAAATGTAAAATGGAACACACTGAGACAAAGAATAGCCTCAAAACTCAAAAGTCCATTTAACAATACAAATTAGAGGCCGAGAAAACAGGGACTTCCAAAACATCAGAGGTGAGATCAGGTTCTATTGGGGAGTGATCATCTCCTACCGACCGGTCGCAAACGCCATGTGTTCCCCGTCATGATCAGGAAAGAACGGGGAAATCAGTCGACAATTCGGAAAATTCCCTTTCAACTAATAAACCTACAGTCAATCTGAAAAACTACAGTCAGCATTTGACTCATTATTAAATTGCACTTGCTTATTTTGCTGACATGGTCATTGTATCCACAATAACACTAACAAAATAATGGCATTAAACGAAACCGCTGATGTCCTTGTTCGAACAACTGTTTGATAATTATCTATCCTGTTTTAGAAATTGTGAATCTATAGATCATCCTCTGGCAAATCAAGTCAAATGAGAGACATAAACACCGTGTGCAGGTGATAATATATTGTATGTTGGATCTTGAGAGTTTAATATATTATCAAATCCTTTGAAAACGTTTTACTTTATATTCTTTCATTCATAATTCGTAACGTAATCGCCCACATACCTGATGTGATTAAAAAAAATGTTCATTTTTCATATGCATATAGAAGTATGTTTCACTGACGTCATGGCTAGAAAGGCAGAAACAGAAGTTAAGAGAAATTAATTATTTTTCTGATTTGCGTATTTTCCCGATTGTTTCGCCAATGAGGCTGACTGAACTATTTGCTCAAACTTGACGTAATGCACGGCTTGTTTATCATGCACTTACAAATTCATAAATCTTCCAGGACATCTTAACCACTTTGGAGTATTTTCTTGGTGGATTTACTTTAAAATACAGATAATCATTAAGTTACATAGTAATCAAACTCGCATTTTTTCTTTCTATTCCAAAATATTTCATTCGGAATTTCCCTTTCCTACGGGGGAAAATTATAGATAATATGTATTTCGAAAAGCAAGTCACTCGTGGCTAATACAAAATGCACGACACAGATTAATACATAAATCCTATTCTTCACGAATAAATGCATATACATGTAGTATTGTGGACTGTCAGCATTTACGTGTAATTGATTACAAGGAAATTTCGCATCGCACTGAGTTCATTTGAGATAAACTATAAATTAGGGAATAATTATCTTCTAATTTGGTATTTGCGACCGTTAATGCTGTTTAACGGTCGAAAACAGAGTTTTACGCGTTAGCAGAACCGGTAAAACGGATGTTTGCGACCGTTAAATCAGCATTAACGGTTGCAAATACCAAATTAGGAGATTAGTTATTCCCATTCTAATGCAATTCATGCATTTTTTTTTTTTGTTGTTTACGTCTCATTTTGTTGAGTTTCATTATATGAAATATGTCATGGAGCTTTGTGTTTTTGCGTCGCTCTATTGTGTACTCACAATGTAACGCTTTCACTCTTGTTAATGCTCGTTTTTCGGCTTAAACATCGATGCATTAGCCAATCAGGGTGTGTTTGACAAAACAATTACATTAGAATTTAACGTTATGATGACTTAAAAAAATGCTTTTCAAATCACATAATATTACATGAAATCACATTGCCAACATCCACGTACAATGTCGCTTTCGATCTCAAATTAAAGAATGTAATAATTTCAGTCAGCAACTTTTGTACCAGTTCAGTGAAGCTATTTTTGCGAGGAATTCTAGTATTCTTGAACACTTACGTATCCCGTTGAAAAGGAAGAAAATCGTTTAAAAAATTGACTTGGAATATACAAGAACGTGGAAGTTTTATTACTTTTTTTTTTGCAGTTTGAGTAATTTGAACCCTGTTGAAAAAGCTTGAGAGTAGTCACTATATTTATCTATACAATAATGTTTTCTAAAAGGTTTAACCAATTTTTTCATGAAAACTTGTCCCATTTCAAAAATAAAAACGTACTCAAAATATATTTTGTTAGTTTGGGAAACATGATAGGTCACACAAGTTCAATCTCAACAAATCTATATACAAATATATGAATAAGGTACAAAACTCAGATTGCTAGAAATTTCCAAGGTGATGTACACAGTCACGAAAAAAAAATGTACTGAGTGAAGAAAACTCAACAAACTTATTTCAATGCATATCATAATGCTCTGTAATTTCTTTAAAAGGAATTCTTTGTTTCTGTATCATTCGAAAGAATAGATAGGTAATCTTTTATGAAGTATTAGTTTGCCTGAATAGCACCGTAAAATCTTGCGTCATATTTGATAATTCTATTGTTTCGTATTATGGCAGATCTATATATGGATTACAATTTCTCTCTTTTTCTGAATTATCTGTCTTCCAACTTTTACAGTATTTCATAACATTTGCTAACAGTTTGAAAAGTAAAATCACTACAGCTGTTACTCCTATATATAAAATAATGCTACCTGTATTAGATTTATGACTTTGTTGTCCATATTTGAATGTTTTCATGTTTACTGTTTGAGGTTCATACACTGTAAGCATTGTGCTGGATTCCCTGCTTAATGTCAATAAATTAGACCTGTTCATAAAATTATATGAACTTCTTCCTACTAATGATGACTTTACTGTTGTTGATGTTTCGTTTTCTGCAATTCCACTGCTATTTCCTAAAAATATAATTATTGTGTTTTTTTTTTATATAATATACCTTCTTTATGTTCATTAATGATTTCAATCAATTGATTTTATTTTAAATTATTGAAAGATTAATATATACTTGGACATATCCCAGTGATGAAATTGCAAGTATTGTTGCATTCAGTTGGACACCGATTAATGCATTCCTTTCCAAACAAACCCAGAAAACATTTCTTGCTACAGTTTCTATCAAAATATCCCCTAGGACAAACTGGTAAAGAAATCGGGTATCAGTAAAATGTTGAAAAAAATTAAGCTTAATATTTCACTTTTGAAAACTTGCTTACTTTGACATTGATTTGTCGTGGTGTTAAAAAAGTAATTCGAACAGCATTTGGTTATTCCTTGTTCCCTGAAAGGCATGCTATTTTCATATATACATATATTAAAGCAATCAGGAAAATAAACATTAAATGTAATTTATCCTTTCCAAGCAAAGTTAAACATGTTTGTGGACATAAATGTTCAAACTATACACGATATTACAGGAAATACTCAATTAAATTATAATGAAGTTACATTATGTGCTAAAATGTATATGTGGGAAATAATTATCATGCAGACATATACTAAAATACATGTATTATTTAAGACTATGTTCGTAGATTGATGTTAGAATACCTGACACAACTTTCTTCTAAAATATTTAATTATTCCATTTGTAAGAAATATGCTTACTTGCAAATTTTTGCATATAGCCAAGTATTTGAACAAAATAAAATCAGTATGCGTATAAAGGTACGTTGAATATTCATATTCTTCATATTTGCAGCTATCTGACTTCTACAACTGCCCCTTTACCAAAAAAGCTGTAATGAAAAGTCAAAACGATCTTCAAATTTCCTTATAAGTATATCATCTAAAATACCCCTATCTTATTGAAAGTTATGCAATTGCATTCATTATTCTGATGTCTCTATAATTCAACAAATCTTGAGTGAAAAAGCAACACAACAAAATGTAGAGAACAAGTCATAAAACGTACATTTCAGATACTGAGCATGGCTCATATAACCAGAACAAATATTTGCTTATTAATCAAGCAAATACTTCCTAGAAAATAAAGTGCATTATTTGTTTATTATTTCTCAACCAAACAGAACCATCATTGTTGAAAGCGGAGGTTACATTTAAGGAATTACTTGTCGAGTTTATAAAAGACTTTTAATGAAAGATTCTTCCTTCAATTTATTTTTTTTCATAAGTAAGGAAAATCATTTTTCTTTTCATTTTTACCTTGAAAAATATTATTTGATGCTGAAACATACTTACCTCATGCATAATCACTGATGGATTTTAGTAATTTGTCACAAGGCTCTGAATGCCTTTTATATAGGAAAGGCATTATCACAAGCTTAAGTTGGCAATCCGCCAACATATAAATATAATCGTTACTTTTATAAACTCAAAACGGAAAGTATAGAAGTGCCCAATTCTCCGGTCAAAAAACAACATTAAGCATTTGCATTGTACAATTTTGAAGCATTACTTGACTTATTCAAGAAACGTTTAGTATTGCACTGTTAATATACATACTTTTTTTTATTTACAAAAAATAGTTCAATTTTAAATATGTATCTGATTACTCTTTAGTAATTATTTATTGACAGTTTTATATCATACATTTAAATAGATGCTTTGTGTCATTTATATTATATCAAATTAGCTGTGACCACACCCTAAATGCAGACAACTGCAGCTCAATTTTACAACGCAATACACATTTGTTAAAGACGTTTCTTTTTAATTCAGCAAATATAATAATAAAAGTATACAAAATAATGTCACTTTTCATCGGAGCGTTTATTATTTCATACTTAAGATAAAAGTAGTTTGTATCTTAATCTTTATCTAAAATGCTTGGTTTTATTATTAAATTTGGAGCATGAAAATGTTTTCACCTCCTGGTATTCGATTTTGATTTGAACACATTTTATAAAACAATTAATATATAAATGGATTGGGCAGCAAGTATGGCCTATATAAGCCCTCTCCACAGTATTCTGCCAAATTGAACATGACATAGGACTCTGAATTTGAATGTTTCATCCAAAACCTCACTACTTTCACTTGTGCTAGACATTTGGTGAAGGAACAATAATTACCTACGTTTTCATTTTAACCTTTATGCATCACGGAACCAAGAACCAAACTCTTGCGTGCAGATGAATTTGAATCGAGTACCTACACCGTTTTACTCTGGTACCCATCTTATTGTGTTATCTAAGTTGTTGAATGATACTGGATTAATTTTTGGAAATATTGCTTCCTTGTGCATCGGGAAGCAATTTAAAAAAAAATATGTTTTAAGTAGTTATAATCAGATATATTTTCCGGAAACTTTCTTTCAAAATAAAGTGTTTCCCCCCAAAATACCAAAGTCCATCATTTAACCTTCTGCATGATCATTTCTAAGAAGTATATATCCAGTTATCTGTTATATTTACATGTACGTATTGTTTGAATACAATCAAACGTTCACCTTCTTCCGGGAAAATAGCATATTCTATGCATCAGTAAAAATAACACAAAACACAATTCAATATAAATCATACGATGCAGGGAAATATTATTTTTTACTTTATGTATTTATGTATGTAAGATTAATCTGGTCTATCAATTGATTGAATGCTTGTATCTGAAAAAAATATCCTCTTTTGAATTTTTTTTACTTAAAGAAATGTCAACGTATACAGTTAAAAGGCTTAAAGTCTGGACCTTTATTCCCCACTTGGAGTCATTGAGTAATGAATTTTCTTTTTTATTGTTCCAACGCCTGCTATAGTACTGATCTCGAAAGACCCGTCATTTTTCTTTCACATAATGCAAGAAGCAAGGCGAATTTCCCATTTACTTTTATTGTCATACATCAGTCGCGTTCGAGGTTTGAACCCAAAGCACTCGCTATCAAATAAACAACCGTATTTGATTTGAATTGTCGAAATACACTTCGTCTTCGGTAATTATGTCAGCAAGTGGATTTCTTACATTTGTAAGAGTTTTCTTTATTTATGACTATTTACATGTAACAATGTCACATAAAGATTAAGAAAATGATTTTCTAAGTTTCTTTCTTTACTCCTCAACAAATTATTAACAGAAGTCATCGGGAATATCAGGAATATTGTTCAACATTAAATTAAAGGGTAGTGAAAATCAAATATGAATGATAAAAAAAATCAAGGATTTTTTTTTTAAAAAGAAAGAATTAAAAACAGAAAAGCAAAATTTTAATAATACTAAATCGTACGACTTTTTTAACACTTTGTACAACCAATCTCGACAATAAATGAATACTCGGAGCTTTTGAAAACACTTACCGCTGCTTTTTCCGATGACAGAAATAAAACACGTTCATTTAGATACCTTAAAATAAAAGTCATTTGCAAAATTATTCTGTTACAAACGTTAACATTAAAGAGATTTTTATTTATCTGCATACATTTTATTGCGTTTTTTATTTACAATATTTATATTTATATAAGTTTGTGCAGATCATAATACAAAGTTGCTATAAGGTCTATGTTACATGTAAAACCTTTGCATGGATGATATATTTAAGCATGCATGCTAAAGGGCTCGTTTCAGATGCTTGATCTTACCTACATATTCCGTATAAATGAACAGGTCAAAGTTTTTTCAAAGTTTTGAAACATGCTCATTCTAAAGTTACAAATAGCCAAATCCTTACCAAAATTGCTTGGCTGAAACATCAAAGGATGTACACCGTCAAGCTTCCATCTAGATTTCCATATGAGTGATCTTGGAGTGTATGCTTCTAAATTATAAGAAATTTTCATGTGGGGTTTTGCCCTACTTAAAGACAGACATTCCTTTTTTTGTGACCTCTGTAATAGCTAATAACCTTTATCTTATAAATCTACTTAAGTTTCTTTGAAGAGGCAAAATAAGAAAAAACCAATAGGTGATTCTTTCTTTCAGAATATACAATGTACATGTATGATGTTACAGTAGAATTATTTTCACATATTCATTGAAATAAATTCTGTCATTATTTTGAAATAAAACAAAGGTACATGTATTAGCAATAGGATTTTATTTATTTGAAACGAGGTAAAATATCGACGATCAAGTTGTAGAGACGGGAATGTAATCAATATCGTTTGAAATCATCATTTCGCAAGTTCTAAGGTCGAATCAATGCCTTTTTCAGTAAATAGATATTATTCATTAAGTCAATTGCAACCTGACATGTTTCATATTTTTTGTTAACAAGATGGACACAGTGCATTCGATCGGTCGCCAGTGGATGTTCACTTCTCCATAGCAACTGATCCAACTTCTTATGTTTTAAATGTTCATGTTTGCTTTGATTTTGCATATATTGCTTAATGGAATTTCGATTCAAAATTTATTTCATTCTCTTAATTTTTTTTTTCCAGATCTGCAAAGAATTTTCTTGGCAATAATTCAATACCAAATTTTAACTATGTGGAAATTAAATATTATGAAAATTCACACCTCCTTCTGGTTAATGTTTTGCCATGTGCTACAGTCTGTTACTTTACATTGTAAATTGCCTGTAAGGTAATGTACATTCATAGATTGTTAATACAGGAAAAGAGAAAGAAAGCTCACTCCTCTATGGCACTTCATTCCAGATGTTTTGATTTTGGAGTCTTTGTTTGCATTGGTCCTGATTTTATTGTTTAAAGTGACTTCTGAAAATAATTGCTGTTCATTATCTTCATATTCTATCTGCTACATTATCTTCATATTCTATCTGCTACAACACGGATATAGCAAATTTACGGATATAACGAAGTTATCTTGTATCCCTAGCTATACACATTTAATGAATTTCTTATATGGATATAACGAATTACGGGTATAGCGAAGTAATTTTGTAGGTCCCCGTGACTTCGTTATAACCTAGTTTAACTTTTCCAGACAATTCTATATTTTTGTTAGACTTCTTTTACAATACTACGGGTTTTTTACGGTTTTGAGACTTTTTCAACAGGCAAAGGAGTATTTGTTGCTTTGACGAATTCATGGCACAATCAACTTTTTCAAAGGAGTAATGTAAATTGATGACACTTTGCCCTTTGTACACTTGTTTGTTAAGTTGGATTTTAAGTGTATTTTTTTCGGAACAAGCGACATAATTTCTCTTTGCATAAATTTAATGATAAGGACGTGTTTTCTTCTGTTCTTATTGTTGGTCATTTAATTTTTAGATGAAATTACTTTGCTGATTTAAATCTGTTTTAATCTGTGTTGTCGGTATCCGACCCATATTAGGACCAAAATTTCTAACTTTAAGTATCAATGTTTGTAGAATATCCTGATATCATTTTAAAGCATTTTAGTATAGAAAGGGATTTACCAAGAGAAATTTTCAAAAATTTTATTACTTAAGTAGACATTAATTATTGAAGATTGCATTGAAGTCTATGGAAGGAAGTAAGTTTTTTAAGATAAAAAAATAAATGCTTCAAATATCAAAAAGTGCCATGGTGGGAAGATGTATTTGATTATTGGGAATAGAAAAAAAAATTAGAAATAATTTTTTTTACCAGACATATTTTGTTTTAAATTAATTTTTATTGAGTAAAATCAAAGGGAGATAACTTGTCAAGGGCAGGAGAAGGTCATAAATTAGGACATGTCCTACTCTTACATTCTTATACTAAAAGATGAAAATTAGTTCTAACTACACCGAGTATTCAGCCCATTCATGTCTATTATGCATTCAATTCTATTGAATCTGAGGCTTATATGGATCGGATACCTTATGCATTAAGATGTACTTTGCATTAGAGATGTCAACAATGTTAATAA